TGCAGATTGCAGTGATAAAGGTTTGGAATTGAAGTGTTGGAAGGATATTGTTTGTTTTGTACATTGTATAGTAAATCATGTGCTCCACAGAGCTCTTAAAACAGACATGTTTCAGAGGCACTCGCATAATGTTCAGAAAATGCTGAACGGTGTCAGTCTAGAGAAATGCTAGGAGGCATGGGAGAGGTGTGGTTAAGACAGAATTACTGGACAAAACAGCAGTAGTTATAAAGACTTAGAACTGCAGATGGCACAGCAGCTTGGGATGCAAACAGCGTGTCACTGGCCAAGGAGGGCACAGCCCTTTTTCTGTAACAGCGTCTGAATACGGGCTACGCTTTTGATTGGCGTTTTAGGAAGTGCTTCCAAGTTGGAAGGAGCTCAGGGAAGAGCAAGCAGTAAGATTAGCAATGAAAAAGCTTGAGGGGAAGAACCAGAGGTGAGACTGCCTGTAGGTTCAGGAACTGTCCGTAGAGCACTGGAAGATGAGTACATCTTAACAGTAACCCAACGCTAGCCTGTACCTCCAGCAAGAAAGCCCTTGGGTGTAAGAATTAGTATGTAAGAATTAGTACCAAATCCCAAGTACTCCGTGAAACACCCCAGCTTACTGAGATCAGAGAGGCCTGTTGTAACCTCATTAGGTGTATGCATGCAAACAGTAAACCTCAGGAGATCCTGATGTTACCCCACTTTCGGTAGCCTTATAATCTCTAGTCTTAATATAATTCACCTAATTAGTCATACTGAGCTGAATCTGCCCCGATTCTTAGGTGTCACTGGGTCTCGCTCTATCGCTAATGTTACCACTTTGTTCCGCATCCCAGCAGTCAGCACCAGCCCAGTGTGTGATCCCACACCATGGGACACAGTGGTGCACAGCACTTTTCTCCCCTGCATCACAGGGAGCAGAGCTATAACCACAGCCTGCTTGCCCTGCTCCTAGCCTGGGAGTTGTCTCAGTGCCACCTCTAGAATGGGAGGCCTCCAGCCCTACCCATACAAGTGACAGGGTTTTGATGGCAATACTTAGCCAAAGACGGAAGGAAAAACTGACTGGTGTAGGTGGAAAGGCCCTAAAAACATAACCAGTCCCTGGTGCTGGATTGACTGCCTGCCTTACTTGCTCCAGGGTCAGACAGCTGAAGTCTAGCAGGCTGCAGGTTAAACGCACCGTTGCTGATTCCAGTATGCCAATCAGGTACTATCCATAAGCCCAACACTACTCTTAGAAAGGGCTGTTAAAGTGGCCTTGTCAGAGCCTAGCTGAATTCCCCGTTTAACAGCAGATGGTAGTATTTTCTTAAGCAACTGATTTATGAGTTTAACTGAGCTATTAATAATTCTGCTCATTTTCACTATTTTCTCTTATATAAATATGTGTTACAGTAGTTTTTATGCTTTTAGATAATTAATACATGCTATCGGAAGTACGCTACATTATGTAGTTTTATAAGCAATGCAGGTACATTGCCAAACTGGATAGGGCATTCTGCCTTTCCTTTGGCTGCTATCCTGTCATCTTCGTTTCTTTCTAGCTACTTACAGTGCAACAACATCAGGCACTATGCCTCACGTTTTTTTGTTTTGTTTCTGCATGTGTCAGGACAGAATGTTGTTCCTAACTTTGAAAAACACTAATTTTTGCAGGGTCCCGAATCTGAATTAGAGTTCATCCTTTACAAGAGAATGATGCTTCAGAGTTTCTTGGTGGTCTGAATGCTAGGTGTCTGCTGCGTGGGGAAAACTGGTCTAATATCTGCATTTTTGGTTCCTAGGACCAATGAAATCTAATGCTTTTCATGCTCTGTCCTTCTTTTTCCTGTCCCCCTGCAATGATGCGCAGATTGCTATTAAACAGTTGCCATTTACCAATACTCATTGAATCAGCATCCTGATTAGTGTTAGGCCTCCTTATGTGACTTGTATCGTTGCCTGTCATCTCAATGGATTTTGACATTCGGGAATGCACAAATATATGTTATAGTATGCATTGTAAATATCACAGATAATACTTATTCTAAGTAGAAGAAAAACTGGAGTTACTTCTTGCTGAGGATTGTGAGATATGAACAGGCTATGAAGATAACATGAAATCTGAAAGAAGAATATCTTCAAATATTTCACAATTTTCAGTATATTTCAAAATATTTTTTCCACTTTCAAAGAGCTTTAAAGATTTCAGAAAAGCATGGATTTGGGATTCTAGTCTCTCAGAAGATAGCTTTGGCATTTAGTAGTGCAAGTAGTTTCGTTTTCTCAGACTTACATTAAAAATGTTGCTAAAAATTAGGATTTCTGATAAACATTTACTGAAGCTATGTAGTCACTTCATAAGCAAAGAAGATAGAAGGACCAGGAGCACAGACAACTAAGGGTAAATGCCAGGCATTATTTCACAGAATTCTCTAGAAAATAAAGCTATTTACAGAAGCTCCCTTGCAGAAAAATGTTACTCTCTGACTGTCATCAGTATGTTTGAAGTATTTTATCATCTCTGTTATTTTTTGTCCGTGCTTAGTGTAAGTGCTTTCCGCGCCTCTCCTGAAGCTAAAGCTCCTGGAGCTTAAACTGCCTTGCCCGTTTGTAGCACGGCTAGGGCCCATACGTGTGGAGTATAGAAGCTTAAGGAAGCTTGCAAGCAAGGAAGTTGCACGTTAATATATCATGGATGTATGTGGCTTGGATTTGTTGACTGTGTGCATGGTCAGGTCCTTAATCAGTTATGCCATGACCTGAGCCCATCCAGCTCTCCAGGAGGCCTGAGAACCTCAGCAGCATCACACTCCATCTTCTACTTAAACACAGGGCCTGGCTCCAGGAAGAGCAGTCTCCTGCCTTTTCAGTATACCTGTTGGAGCTTTCAGTCCTTTTTTTCAAACACGAAATGCTGACAAAAGAAAGCAATGCCATTATCTCCCGGCTAGCTTTTTGAAATCTCACGTTGAGGAAAAGCACTTACTGTATATTTCATATGAACAGGAAGCTTTCAGTAATGATTGGTATTTCTGAGTCCGTTGCAGCCAGTGCAGCTGTTGAAAATGTCATTGTGGATGGCACAAGTAGCACAGGATTTTGAGAAAGGCCATGCACCATCTGACTTTGATACTGATTAAAAAGAAAAAAACGATAGAACGTTTAAATAATAAAGAACGGCTTGGTTGTAAATACGTAAAACGGAGTGAAAATAGAAAAGCATCATCACTGGCTCTTGAAATCATCAATAACATTCTTTTATTCAGAATACTACCTGGTAGTCTGTGGATTTCTGAGCCGCTGTGATTGAATTTCGCAGATGCGTGAGGAGAATTCTGAACGGTTGGGCCAGCCTTAGCGCTCCTGCATTGAGGTGCTGGTATAACTCTTTGACAACGCATGCTGTTAGGTCGAAACGTCCCTGATGTTTTCGAGGTCAAACTTGCTTATTATTATTACCGACTAGAACTACTCTTTGTGCCCATTTTTGTATCAGTCGTGCTGGAAATATAGATGATTTGCTGTAGATGAATCAGAGTAATTTCAGCATATGCAAGCTTAAAGGCACTAATTATTACAAATGTTTCGGCAGAGCTTTGGCCAGTACTGTTGGACTGGAGTTATGGGATGCCTTTTGAATAGTGTATTTTGATTGGAAAGGAAATGCCTCTGCTCCATTTCCTGTGGGCTCTCTCTCAACTAGGATACTGCAAAATACAATATATTTGTTGACATGTTGTTTATGAAACTGGTCTGCTTTACTTTGTGTTGGCAGCTAGCGTCTTTAACAGTTAAAAGTCGTTTAGCACATTGTGGTGAACCCTGTGGAGCTCTCTGGGATTAACAGTGGGCAACTACGTATCCCCCTCTTTTGCTATGCTTAGACGTGACTGAAAACAAGTTCTGACAATATGTTCTCTCCACTCCTCTGCGTGGGCTTTTCCCGTCTTCCTCATCTGGACAGAATTTGGGAGCTTTCCTCTTTCTCACACAGATCTCATACTTGTTTTTCTCCTTTCTCTCTTCCTATTCTTATCTATGTATGCTCAAGTTATTTTACGTCCTTTTTCTTCATTCCCTCACTTGCCTCTTCTTCTCTAGTTTGTTTTTTCTTTTAGTTCATTCATTTCCTTTTGCCTTTCTGCTCTTTTTTATTGCTTGTTTGCTTTTGACTTTTGTCATATGCAGTGTAAACCTGACAAAGATCACTTAATCTTTCTGAGTTTTAATGTTCACTGGGCGCTCTACTGCTGAGTTGCCCTGGGAACTAAGAGAAGACCTAATTTTAGAACCCGTGATGGTTCTCGGGGGTCAGTGGGCATTTGCTCAGTCTACCATATGCGGCGCTTGGAATAAAGCAGGAAAAAAAGCTTCCCAGGGAAAACTGCAGGGAGTCTCAACTGGGCAAACAGAACAGATGGGATAACAACAGGAAAATGAGATTGGTGTATATGTTACTTTTACAGTAGCTTAACAAAGTGATCACTGTGTCAGTTGTTTGATTGGAAAGGAGACAGTATTTTTTATATATATGTGTGTGTGTGTGTGTGTATACATATACCACCTATAAAACTTGAAAAGGCTGTTTTTACCTCGTGCTTGAAAAATACTTACAGGAGTAATGTGATTTCTATTTCTGTTTATTTCACTGACAGCTACGGTTAGAGCCATCACGTCAGCTGCGCAAACTGGTGGTATCTTAACTATTCACTGTAGCATCTGATAGCTTCGGATGTTTCGTATACTGAAACTGTACCTGCACAGAGTTGCGATGCTAGCCAGTCTGTGCAACAGGCTTACATGTTACTAGTGCTTATTCACACAAAGAATCTCATCCCTTTCCAATAGTTCTCATCACCCAAAGTGGGAGTTGCATAATTGTGCCTTACAGTTGCTTCTGAGTACTAGCTATGGGATTTTGTGAAAGGCTGTTCAGAGATGCTTTTATACTGGAGCAAAGAAAAGAGAACTAGTCATAGCGAGTAGCCCTTTAACTAAAGGAATCGTGCTTATTTTTTATGCAGGGAATAAATCACAAGATAGTGGGATAGCAGAGATGGAGGAACTGCCAGTCCCACATAACATCAAAATAAGCAACATCACGTGTGATTCCTTCAAGATTTCTTGGGATATGGATTCTAAATCCAAGGACCGCATCACCCATTACTTCATCGATCTCAACAAGAAAGAAAACAAGAATTCCAACAAATTTAAACACAAGGTAATTTTCACTTAAAAATCAGGGTGAACGTACTTGATTTTGAATGGATGACTCTCAGTGTTGTTTTAACCTTCAAAGCCAGATCATGGGGAACAGGTCCTGTTGGGAAAGCAAGCTGGGATGTAGCTGTAACCTGACAGACAGATGCTGTACTTCAGAAAATGGGGCTGTTTGTTTCCCTTTGCACCCAGGGTAGCGTACATGAATGCTTCATCCTTTCAGTGCTTTCTCCGTTGGTAAATATATAAAGCATATTCCGCTCATTTATGTTGTATGTGGTTTTATTATTTATGACTATTGTCATCCTGTGTGTGAAGGAGGAGCTTTGTATTAGTAGCAGTATGCAAGGACTAAAATTCTAATGAGACTTGGTCTTTTCCTTAGAGCAGTTGCATACTTCATCCCTTTATTCAGCTATGGAAGTATGACTATTCCCACGTTAATGGGCGGGGAAATAAGACTCAGGTATTTGGCAAAATTAGGACTAGAACCTAGCTACACTCACTTCCCACATTGTGTCCTACTAACAAACTTGGCAAGGGGAAGGATAAGGTGAAACGCAGAAGACTGAAAAAGTGAAAGTACTCCTTCAGGTAGTGGTTGAGACCCCCATTTTGCAGCTTCTTTGGCAAAGAAAAGGGACTACGAGGAGGCATCTAATCCCAAAAAGGAGCGAGGTAGTGTGACTGGTGTACTCTCCTGCTTCGTTATTCAGGGCTTCCAGGCTGTTCTCGTAAATTGTCACAGTTTAGGTACCTTTAGCATTGCTTGACTGGGCACTGGTGGCTGAGCAGCCATCAGCCACTCCAGAATCCCAGCTGGCCTTGAGGCGACACATAACCTTCTTTGCACTTTTTTGAGGGACTTGGCCAGGAAAGGCGGCTAAAAAGAAAAGGGAGTAAAGGAGGAAATAGAGAAGGCCCAGAGAAATTTCAGCTTCACCATTTTTTTCTTGGGGACAGTATAGGGACCTTGAAAAATGTTTTCTTAGAAAAAGAACAACAAATTAAGGGTTCTGAAATGCATAATACCCCCTCTCCCCCCCCCAGCAGGCAACAGGTAAAACCCTCCATTGAATATTGTGGCTGTAGGTAGTCTGGTCGTTTATGGTGCAGTTAGAAGAGTCTTCTGATACAATGTAGTGTGGCAGCTGGAAGGTAAGGCTTTGAGGCTTGGGGACAATGCGGCTTTCAGTGTTGTGTGAAAACTGACAAAATTAATGGAGCTGGGGGCGGGGGATGATGTAAAACCCGGCACTGTTACATGGGCACAGAGACCTGACCCAGGTGGAGGCCGTTTTTACCATATCCAAAGGAAAGATGACAGGAAGACTAATGATTGGAACTTCAGCAGCTGCTGACTGCATTAGCATTGCAAAATTCAGTCCAGCGGGAGGCCTCTGCAATAGCGTTCTGCGGGGGTGGCTTTGAATGTCATTTTACAATTTTTTTTCTTTTTCTTGTAATTTTTCTCTATCTTCTCTCTCTACATTTATTTAGTTTTAAAAAAACCCCTTGTTTTAGAATGCACAAACCCTTTGTTTTAGAATGCACAATTGAGTCTATTACACAGCTGTTTGTTAGTATTTGATTTAAATGAGAACCAGCAAAAAAATGAATTCAAAATGACCACAAAATCTTATCTTTGATCAATAATCGCATTTCAGTTTCTGTGGACTCGCAAGCTACTGGTTTTACACCTTCTTAATGTAGAAAGTGAAGACCATTTTGTTTCTGACATCAAACAAGAGAAGATACTTTTTCCATAACTGAGAACAAAAAAATATCTTTCAGGTCTTGCTTACAGCTCATGAAGAAGTCTCTTTCCTTTTTTTTTTTGCCCCCCCGTTCTTTTTCTTTTTTTTTTCTTAAGGTGCTACTACGCTAGTATTTTACATGGATAGTGATGGGGGTAGCAAAACTGTCCACTTCTTTTCACGTGGCAGCCATCTTAAGATTCTGTGGCTACTGATAAACATTCATAAATGCCCTTCCACGTAAATAACAGTACTACGGTGAAACATGTAAAACACACAAAATTATTCTGCAACGTGTTTAGATTTTCCTATTGCAGATCAGCTAGAAAGATATCAACAGCAATATATGTATGTGGCCTGATGGAAGGCAGGAAGAATTTTGTTTGGTTACGTTGAAATAAAAGCTTGACAATGCGAACGCAACAAGCCCTTACATTGAATTAAGCTGTCCCTGAGCTTTCCAACAGGTCCTTCTTTGCATACACAAGCACAAATGGATGGCCCTAGTCTGAATTGGGTATGTAGGCTATGTATAACAGAATCAGTCTACAGTCACTTGGAACCCGTAATAAATTCATCCATGCAAGCTATCGCCATAATTCTTAGAGCAGACCTGAGACCATTGTCCTCAGTCACCCTGTTAACTTTGCTGCAGGGCAGCGTACTGTGAGAATTAACTAAGCTTTACAGAGAGGAGCCAGGGACTGGGGACTCACCTTACCAAAAAAGGACAAAGGGTGGGTGGGGGTGGTGGAGTGTTTTGGCTGCACTGATGACTTGTCTTTGTTTGTTTGTTTGTTTTGTTGTTGTTCCTGTCAGGACGTACCCACTAAACTGGTGGCCAAAGCTGTTCCTTTGCCTATGACAGTCCGCGGGCACTGGTTTTTGAGTCCGAGAACGGAATACACAGTAGCAGTGCAGACAGCATCAAAGCAAGTTGATGGCGATTATGTCGTTTCTGAGTGGAGTGAAATCATCGAATTTTGCACAGCAGGTAAAATTGCTGAGAAAACATGCACCGTAGGAAATACGCAATTACAGCTAGCTTTGCATGAATGGGTTAGACATCTTACTGGCATCAAGTAGGCTGGTACAGTGTAACGGTCACACTTGGAAATTGGAAGACTAGCTTTTGGCTTTGCGCGCGCCCAGGTTTGGTACGCTGCTGACAGGCGGGAGGCAGCTGCCGTGGCCCTTTGTTTCGGAATAGCTTAGCTGCCCCACAGTGTTATGCCTGGTGCCACTGCTTTTCTCAGGCTAGGAAGGAGGGTGGGGAACCAAACTGGAGTAGGACCACTTGCGTGCCTCTTGCTGGCCACAAGCACCAGTGGAGAAGACAGAGTGGTAGCTCCCTCGTAGGTTGGTTGGTTCAGACATTTGCTGTGCTCCTTCCTCAGCACACTGCAAAACTTGAGCACCACCAGCCCCGGGTCCTGAGGGGTAGTGCACGGACATTTATTTTTATGTCTGCCTTTGGATGATCACCGCCAAGTACCTGTGTGCCTGTACGAACGCTGAGAGCTGAAGTGAGCTGTCTGTGTTCGTTGAGTTGCAGTTTAGGCGGGGTCCTAACCAAGCCTGGTTAATTATGTGACTTCTGATCAGCTCACAACCAAGTAGGGTGTAGCAAACCATCTTAAAGGGCATAAGCCAGAGAGGGCAGTTCTTGGCTCCTCTGCAGCCCCAATACAAGGAAACCACCTATAACAGAGGAAGTCCGACCTGAAAGTAGCTAGGGGTTGGCAGAGTATTTGTGGGGAGATAAAAATGCGTGTGCTCCTGGTACTTGTTTATGGCCACTGTTGGCAAGTGGTGCTAGGCACTATTTATAGTTGCAATACAGCTGTCTTGTGCTTCACAGTGTTAGGTACGTTACCTAGTCTCTGTTCCCAAGCTTGCGGGTGAAGCTTTTAGAGAGCACTGTATTTTTTTTTTTTTTTTCCCCTCTCATGCTAGCAGATTGTCTTTTCTTCCCAGATTATTCAAAAGTTCACCTAACACAGCTTTTGGAAAAAGCTGAAGTGATTGCAGGCCGTATGCTTAAACTGTCTGTTTTTTATCGGAATCAGCACAAAGAATACTTTGATTACATGAGGTAAGAAAGGAAACGTATGCAAAATTGTTTGTGCAAATTAAGAGAGTAACGAAAATAAATCTAAGTAAATGGAGGCAGCTGTGCTAAAGCTGGGGCACAGTGTCTGTGCGCTACATCTCCAGTTCAGAAGGGGAAAAACTAAAAAGGTGACTCATTTTTTTCCAACTGTGTAACTCAGCATTTTGATTAGCAAACAAAAGTTTGTGTTTTGGAGCTGAAACTTTAGTACTCACAGGGTCTCCAGCCTGATTAGTGTTAAAATAGCATGTGTTTTTTTTGGGGGGGGAGGGGGGGAGGTTTAA